AGTGACTTGGTAAAAACCAGCCTCTAGTGTGTATTGTTGGATTAAAATTAAATATATGTTGTGGGTTTTCTTGTGTCATCACTCAGTGAGCTGTAGTGACTCACGCTGGTGTGTAATGGTTGTGTTACGAACACAAAAGTTGTTTTGGTCTTGTTATCCTGTACCCAGCACCACATGAAGGAGCCAGGAGGAGGACACAGGAGTGGACATCATGCATTTGCTATAAATTATTTGAAATAGAAAAATAATTTCTGCTGCTGTGCAGAAATAAAAATCTGTTTTTATTTTCCAGGATTTACCAAATCTGACACAACCACCCTCGTCTTTGATGGTCTGACTGATATGAAGCGAGCGCTGCTTTGAAATCCGACAACAAGCCACCTTGTGAATTTATGAGTGCATCTTTGCTTTGCAGCTTACAGAATTTATCTTTCTGCAACCCTGTTTTCTCATAAAGGCGTTTATGACAGGAAAATCGCCTCCAGTTTGCAGCCAACTTTGCAGATGTGGTGATTTTGCTTCCTGTTATTAATGGTTTCGTTTCCCTTCTCCAAACGTTTTTTCTCATAACTGAAAATGTGATTTTTTAAAACATCCAAGAACAGAATCGGTGTTTTAGCAGCGCAGAAACACAACCTCATGTCTACAACATGCAGGTTGGACTCTTCAGTTCTGTCAACAGATCCATCAGCTAGCTGAGTGTTTGCCTAAACACTTTACAATCTGTGCATTAACACACAAAACGTGATGTCACGAGGGCGGAACTCCCTCCTCTGTTTGTTTTGGAGATCTGCAGATTTAGATTGAAGTTATCAAAGTAAAAACAATCCTTTCTCTTCAGAATGAGTGTTAAAATCAGATTTGTTTGGATGATCCCAACTGAATGTTTGTGTTGGAATGCAGATTCCTGCAGCAAAGCTTTAACAAACACAGAAGAGATGCACATTCCTCCGGTTGGTCTCCGGCTGCGGGGACATTTGAGATTTGACTCCTCTCTCTTAGGGAAGCGTGTCGAAACGCTCCAGCTCACATCTCTGACCTAAAACTCCAGCCCGTCTCACAGTCTGAGATTTCCTCCACACAATCACATTTTAGACCACAAGATGGGCTTTTGACTCAGTTTGGAAAGTTGGATTTAATGTTTTTATGTATTATTTCTACTTTTATGTTCTTAAGTTGTGCGTTTTATGGTTAAGATGAAGTAAAAGTCCATATGGAAGGAAACCTGTGGAAACCTGCCCACATTATTACAAACACATTCAAACCCGAGAGTCTGAACATGTGACCTCACCAGTGATGTCAGAGCCCAATGACATCAACTTCTCTCAGGAACATTGAAAGTGTCATTCCTTTCGTACATCTAACACCCACAGTGTTGGTTTTAGATATGATGAGAAACCGTCCACACTCAAATTAGACTTTCAACTTATTTAGAGTTTAGCCATTTTCCTTCAGGGATCACACACACACACACACACACACACACACAAACACACACAGCAATACTCTACAGTCACACACCAATGAGCATTCAAGGAGAAAGGTGGAACGCTCATTGCCCAGGGAAACATCTACATGGAGTGGCTGAAGATTAAACCGCCAGCTTAAAAAATTAAAAGTCAACTAGCTGATCCAAAATGGTTGGAAACATGAAAACTAGCCATGAGGTTTTTAAACACCTAAAAACGGAATCACCGCCACAGCTTTTGTCTCGTCCCGTTTTAAGGACAGAGAAGACTTTAAAGGTGCAGTATGCAAGAATATGGAGAGAATTCTACAGAGATAAAATCCCATAAGAGTCTAATGTTTCAGTCATTTTGGAAGGAAGGTTATACTGAAACATGTTTCATGTCCTGCTGGCTGCTGGGTTTTCAGTTTTTCTCCTTTCTAAACAAAGGAAGCAGGGACCTAACTACTGTTTATCGTCAGTGAGTGTGTGTGTGTGTGTGTGTGTGGGGGGGGGGGGGGGGCGTGTCTCCTGCCCGCTAATGCTGCAGTGACGACAATTGTAATTTGACGTAGGGCTGGGCGATATGACGATTTTAGACCGTTTTACGATCTACACATCTGACGGTCTGTCATTTTTGAGAGACCTTTTTATCACGATTCACAGCTCTGCTGTTGAATTTCTGCCTCTGAATGAAAAGGGAACTTACCCCAGGCAAATGACACGCCTTAGTTTGACCCTTAACCAATCAGAGTGAGTCATAGTAATATATTAGTGCCCCGCTTGTTTTCACCTGTGTGTGAACAAACATGGCTTCGGCCACGGCTGAGCGACAACGAGGTTTTCGTTCCGAAGAGGAACGCAGGGTTTCCTTAGTGCGCGGCGCTAGCAACTTAGCGACGTGACATGTCTCGGAGAAAGCGTAAATACACGTTGGACGCTTCTTCTGAAGCAGGAAAATAACACCGCTTCTTAAGCAGAGCACAACGTCGCCTCGGCTCGTCCACCCTCTGCCGAGCCCGGTCACTGGGTCGTTGGAGCTGTCCCGTGACTGCCTGATGGAAAACCAGCGGGTTTCATCAGACTCGTAGTTTCTTGTTTTTGCTGGGGACCCCCTGTATTTTAGCGCTCCCTCCTGCAGTCTTCCGCTATTACAATTTAAAATGATTCTGTAAACTCCGTGTATCAATAGAAACAATCTCTGCCTCTGCCAGCTGCAGTAAATGTAGTCTCCAAATAATAAGAGGTGCATTCATCTGTGTATCTCCTTTGATCCGCATTAGTGATATTTTCAGCACCAGAACAGTGAAGCAAAGAAAGATTCCTGAGTTTGTTAGTAATTTTATTTATTAGGTGCATCTAACCTGTTCTATTTTTCTCTGAAATGAGATCAAATCAGTGCTTCTATGGGTTGTCTCCAATCTGCACTGGAAAATTTTACTTTATTCAGAGACTTGTTGCAGAAAATATTCAGAATGCGCAGTTTTTTGCTACCACAAGCGATCTCTGGTCCAGCCGCACATCAGAGCCGTATTTGAGCTTAACTATCCACTACATGAGCAACTGGGAGCTACATAGTATTTTGAACAAGTTAATGTTTGCATAATACGTTTGTAATTGACATGTTTGCACTTTAAATATGTTAACGATTTTAATTTATGTTAAGTTACTTGAAAAACGAGAAAAACTGATTTTTGTAATTGTTTCTCTCAGGGCTTTTATCATCTCTGGTGTGAGTTTAAAATATAAGTGTGTTAGCACTGTGCTGATTATCCCTAATATGAATAAATGTTTATTTATTCAATGTTTCTCTTCTTTAATACGCAATTGAAGTTATGCTATTCATGGATAAAAAAATCATGATAAAATCGAAATCGTGATAAAATATTGGAAAAATCGTGATATTCTATTTTTGCCATATCGCCCAGTCCTAATTTGACGACAGCTGGCAAAAAGCTCCAGAGTTGTTTAAAGTGGTTGCAGTAACTAAATTTTACCACAGGATGTCATTTTTACTTCATTCTACATAATGCACCTTTAACTCACATCAGCAGGTGGCAGCGTTGAGCCGTTTAGTGGTGATTAAACATAGGGAAGTGCACTTGTTTTTTCCAACCTATATAACCAACCACAAAAATATTTAAGCCTATTTAGGTTAATAAACGTATTAAACAAATAACATTTAGTAGTATTTACACACAAGTCATGGACAAACAGTCCAAAACAGTAAACTGTTTTTTACCTTGATTTATGATCAACATCATTTTAATATCTATATAACTTTTTATATTACAATTCTCATTTTATCTCTTTATATTTTATATTTTAATATTAATTTAACCTTTTTCCCAATGCTTCCTCTGTGGGAGCCCTCTGTCCCGGCGGAAGTGGTCGGCTGTGGCGGCCTGGGTGCTTTCCATGTGTGCCTGGGTGGTGGTGGGGGTCTCTGCCCTCCCTGACCTGGGCGCCCGGTGTCGGTGCCTCGGCTGCTGCTGTTGGGGTGGATGGCTTCCCTGATGGCGTTTCCTTATCCTTATCTTAGCTGGTCTGGCTCATCTGATGTCAGCCATCGTGTTTTTTTTACCATGTGGAAGTGTGTGTGTGTGTGTGTGTGTGTGTGTGTGTGTGTGTGTGTGTGTGTGTGTGTGTGTGTGTGTGTGTGTGTGTGTGTGTGTGTGTGTGTGTGTGTCGGTGGAGGAGTGTTGTGAAGGGGTTTTTATTGTCGGAATGTTTTTAAAATTCTGGGGATGGGAGGGAATGTGGGCATGTGGGGCCTTTTTAATTTGTTAAGCACTTTGAGTTGCATGTATTGTAGGATTAAGTGCTATATAAATACAGGGGATTGATTGATGGACAGACACGCTGCTATAAAAGCAGAGAAGAGCTGCTGGAGCCTGGAGGTTCAAGCAGGAAGTGCATGAAAATACTTTTTTTTCTTTTATTGTCCCATGTTGATGCTCAGAAGAAAAATAAATACTATAAAATAATAATATTAATAATATTAAGGGTATATTTTTTGATGACTGTTTATTTACAGCTAAAATTTAAATTTAACTACTTGCATTAATCAGTCAGACTTGATTTCCTTTGAGGTTTATTGAAGTGAACCCCACCTGAGCGGTCTGGACCTGTGGCGCCTGAATCACAGAGTTCTGAGGGGCTTGGATGACTCCTTGGACCTGCGCGGTTTGGCCGTCTGACAGCTGAACAACAGTCACAGCTGAATCTTCTCCTATTAAAACCTGCAGCCATAAGTCAAAGAATCAGACAGAAAGTAAACCTTACCTAAAAAGAACCTGCGTACAAATTTACGTCAGACCTGTTTAAAGAGAAAACAAGCTGATATATTTATTAAACATGCACCTGAGTGGAGGATGCAGGAGACGAACCAGCTTCACTGTGATTCTCTTCTCCATCTGTCACTGTGTCATTTAAACTGCTCTCCAGCTGAGGCGACACTGACATATCCATGGTGGCCTGTAGGCAGACACGCGGTTAACAGCAACGCTGACCAACACCAACCTAATGGTTTATTACTGAGAATCTTCTTCTGCCTCAGATCATCATCAGAACTTAGAAAAAGTAGATTTTTTTTCACCTTCTCATATAAAAACAAAGTGTTTCTGAAACTTAACCCTGATCAGATCAGTGGAATTAAAATCTGTGAGGTTAAATTGCCTCCTCCTTCATCTAAAACAAACTCATATTTACATTCTGGGTTGCTGTGGACAACCAGAACTGTGTGCGACACCTCTATTATGTGCTGCAGCCTGGTTCACACACACCTCAGACTGCTGCTGCACAAAACTCACATCCAACTTTTATCAAAACCGTGATTCCGAGATACAGAAACAGCAAATGGTTAAAAATGTAATAGAATTTCTTCATTTGGAGAAAAATGTTAGAACAAATGCAAAAAATGTGAAAATATGAAGGATATGGGGCAACAAGAATGTGTGTTATTTAAATATTTACACACGTTTTCACATCAGGGACCCTTGTGAGCCACAACCCATACAGGTTAGTCCCAAACACAAACGTTAATCCTCAGGAAATCCTACATTAAAGCACATATTTTTTATAATAAATAAATAAAAGTGGGTTTTTTTCTGCAAAGTTCTCCAAACAGACAAACCACGCCTTAGTTCCAACGACTTCAAATACACGAGGGTGCAAAAAGTTAAACGCTTTATGCACGGAAACGCAGTCATTGTTTACAACAATAACGTGCAAAGTAGTAATAATGTTCCCTGTTAATAAGTTTTCTTCAATGGTTTTCTTTCATTTATATTGTTTCTAATGAGCTGTGTGTGTGTGTGTTCCTAACAAAATAAAATAGCAAGACTCATGTCAGGATGGTGTTTTAACGGATCAGGTGAGGGTAATTTTATTTTGAAGAGGACTGCTGACAGCTGATCTCAGAACATTTCTCTCTCTCTCTCCCGCTCCATGTTGGTCGGCTGCCTGCTCGCAAACCGGAGCTCCAATTAAAAGTTTTGCACCAGTTGCGTTTTTGCACGTTTTCCCTCCGGTTCTGCCCGAAAGGCGCTGACCCCCAAAAAAAAGCGTGACAGCTTTGCGGCGACTTACCGAAGTTTTTACGTAGTCTGATTCGTCACTAATGACAGTATATATGGGTGGACAGCCTGCGTGCCTTGCCTTCGCTCACGTAGCTCCCACGTCAGCACTAATGATGCTGTGCTGAAAATGTCGCCCGACGTCTCAGTTTAACGTCAAAGATCGTTTAGGTGGAGCAAGAGGACTCCCCTCGGCTCACTTCCGGGTTCGCAACGACGACAACAAACTACTATAAAATCCGTTTATTGCTTTCAGATAGCACAGCTTATTATAAGGACGCCATTGAGTCGCTGTCTAGTCATTTGTAAAAAATAAAATGAAAAAAACTATAAACTTTTTCGTAAGGACAGGTAACAATTTTCCTCAGTTAAACTTTGTGTTCTTGCTTTTTTTTACACTGTAGACCATAATTATATAGAAATTAAAACGTATGGATTTGTGATTACATTTTAAATGTACTCTTAATGAAACTAAAATTGCATTTTACTCTGGTTTTAGTCATGATGCAATTTGATTGCCCCCTAGCGGCGGGATGACGCAATGATATTAACATTTATGAAAATAGAAAGGTATTTAGTGATGTTAAGAACAAATGAACACAAGTATTATTATTATTATTATTATTATTATTATTATTATTATTATTATTATTATTATTATTATTATAACAAGAGACAAAGAATATGATGAGTGCTTCTATTTGAAACTGACACTTGTGACCTGTTAGAAACATCGATGTGGAGATGTTGAGCAGTTTCTTTAGTGACTGGCTGCTGCTGCATCCACTGCAGGTCAAACTGTGCAACAAAAACATGCAACATCTGATTAGCTCTTATTGTTTTCTGTTGCCTTAATATTTATATTAACAGTATGTTTTATTTCTTCTACTTCTTTAACCTTGTTGCTGCTATACCATGTACGTTTTTGCAAATGAAAAAGAGCTTAGAGGTGAAGAGTAGATCTATTTAACATTACGATGGTGGCTCATCTTGTGTTCTGCTGGGTAAAGTACGATTTTACATTCAGGAATAAACACAGTTGAATGTTTCAAAGAAGTTTTAAAGTGGGACAATCAAAAATGTTATGCATGAAAATGTAATTTTTATCTTCACGTGTTGATAAATGCAAATTTTCTAAAAATGTGTTTGTTGCCTTTTTTGTTATTTCTGCTTAGGACAGCAAGTATCCAGGGTTACCTCATGGAGGAGGTGTTGGGAGAAAGGCCTTCCACTATTAAATTAATATATAAACAATGTCATTTTGTTTTTTAGTGTTTAAATAAATTTATTAAAATAAATACAAATTTTGATAATTAATTTTATTACCATCCATCCATCCATCCATTATCATCTGCAAATCCAGAGTTGGGTCACAAGGGCAGCAGCCTAAGCAGGGAGGCCCAGACTTCCCTCTCCCCAGCCACTTGGGCCAGCTCCTCCGAGGGAATCCCAAGCTGTTCCTTGGCCAGCTGAGAGACAAAGTCCCTCTAGTGTGTCCAGGGCCTTCCTTTTGGTCTTCTCCTGGTTGAACGTGCCTGGAAAACCTCAGCGGGGAGGCATCCATTCTAACTAGATGCCCGAGCCATCTCAACTTGCTCCTCTTGATGTGGAGGAGTAGGGGGTCTACGCCGAGCCCCTCCCGGATGACTGAGCTTCTCACCCCATATCTAAGGGAGAGCCCAGCCACCCTGCAGAGACAACTAATTTTGGTCGCTTGTATCCGTAATCTTGTTCTTTCGGTCACTTCGTAATGCTCGTGACCATAGGTGAGGGTAGGAACGAAGATCGACCGGTAAATCAAGACCTTTGCCTTTCTAATGTCCAGAAATGGTCAATTATCACCTACATATTGACCTACACAATGTCCGGTCATCTACAGACCTAATTCCACTATCTGAGTGGAGTTTCTAACCTGTCTTCTAAAGCCCAGAAGATTCTGCAGTACTTGCTGACATTTCAGGGGCACAAGCCTGTTCCCAAACAAAGCCTTCTTTTGATAAGACTGCAGGATTGGACACTCTCAGCGCTGTAACTTAAAAATCTTCAAAAACACAACTAAAAATATTAATTTTGTCTCTAATATTGCCATATATACATACAGATTAATAATTATTGCACACCGTTTTATATTCTTCTCATCTTGTATTTATTTTTATCTGTTACGTCAGTTTCGTTTCCATGCAAGTTTAATGTATTCCCAGTGACAAAAAGGCTTTCTGACTCTAATGATAAGTACAAAGTTAAAGAACTAAAGCAGGAATCGTTTTAGTCATAGAACAACTTCGTACTCAATGGTTAGTGATGATTAAGAGTGTGTCATTGATAGATACTGGGTGTGTTAGTTTGTATGTTTTCCTGTGTAATATTAAAGTGGAGTAATCTGTTCTGTACTTTTATTGGCTCTGATTCTGGCTGACCCCAGAGTTGCCATCTGGCCCCCACCCACCTCCACCACCCCACCCCGATGAGAAGCTGTACTGATAAAACATCACCCCCGCTGTCATCAAAGAGCTCCGCCCTGCAGGGCTGCGTCGGTGTTAATATGCAACAGGATGACAAAAAATAAAGCTTCTCACAGGAGGAACAAAAATGATCTGAAATTATGCTAAACATCTATTTAATATGGGTCAATAATTTAAAAATTACAATGATTTACATTTTGGTAGCTTCAGCGTTTCAGCTTTAACACCCATCAGTTATGTTGTTTACCATCTATAGTGTTGTTCCTTTGTTTTTATGGTGCAGGGCCAAATTAGATCATCTTTTCAGGTCTGTGTCCTCTCACCCCTTCCTCCATCTCCTCCCCTTCCTCTCCATCCATCTCTCCTGGTCCCATTCTGCGGTCGGAGGAATCCAGATGGCACAGTGCCGGCAGCAGAAGGGGAACCCCCGGGTGGCACAAAGGCCAGACAGCAGGGAGTCAGTGCCAGAAGGCTCTTTAGCACAGAATTAGCCAGGGATGGACGCTGAACACAATTACATGCTGTTAATACCATCAAAGGGACGCTTCTTGGGCGTCTGCTGTGCCCTTTGCAGCTAAACTGTCATCATCTGTGACATTTCACAGCTCTTTAGGAATGTGGGACTGCAGGATTCCTCATGAGTAAAACCTGTAAAACCAATAAACCTATAAAACCTGTTTACTACAACAAGAACTGGACACAAAAGAGAGCAACGGCTTGTTATAATGACATATTTTCTGATTAACATCAGCTTCAAGTAGACAAATAGTAAAATAGTCCCAGGGGTTCATTATTGTCAGCCAGTAGACGGCAGCACTGATGCAGCATGATGTCTCCGTCAGACACAACCAATCAAACCAAGAAACGCTTTACTTATTTCAATCACTATGACTTTTTTAATTACTTTGGTCTGAGATTTTGCAAATGTGTTACTTATTTTCTAAACTTATGACTTTTTTTCAGATATATTTAAATTTGATATCAAGTTTTCAGGTCCCAAGAGTGTCTAAACCCGGAAACAAAAGGATAACACTTTCAGGCTGTTACCGGTTATTAAAGAACTCCCATTCATTTTTTTAGAGTCACACTTAAAAAACAAAATTAAAACTATAACATAAAGATGTTTAAGCAGCTTTTTCAGCTGGAGTTAAAGGTAAAACCACTCATGCCAAGTACAAAAACATTATAGGTTGTGTCACGAATGAAATATTGATTCTACTTCTGTGTTAATTGTGAACTTAAACCTGGATCATTTCAGATTTTAGTGATAATTTGTGTACAAATCTCTTACAGATCTATGACGGTTGTTCTTTCTCTCTGCACATTTACTCTGTCACCTCGCCCATGTTTAATCCCTCAAGAACATCTGTTGAGGCTGTGGCCACCAGGCGCTCCAGCTGTGCTAAAGTTAAAATAACCTCCCAGCTGTGAGTTCTGGTTTTAACTGGTGCAGAGATTCATTTAAACGTGCAAACCACAAACACACGCTCCGCATAACAGAACTCCAGACTCTT